CTACATCATCAATCATGGATTCAACTTTATTCAGTAATTTTCATTATCTTTTGAGAGCCTCTCAGAGCGCTCTTCGTCTCATTTATTCTTTTTTCATATCAGTACTTCCCAGTCGCGACAACAACGTTTGCGTGAATGTGAGAAGATATTGACACTTAGAAGTTCAGGCAGAACGCACTTTGCTTGTTCCTAATGAAAATGTATATTTGGTGAAAATTTTTATGATGCTGAAAATGGATCGACTGAAAAGGACTGAATGGTTTTTGATGAGGTCATATGCATCATATTGAAGATTCGGATAAGTTGTGCGTTGCAGATTATCGTTAGGGTTTCCGAATCCATGCGATTATTTGATTTCAAGAAGGCTGTCGTTCAACTTGGCAGCAGTCGTTGTAGTTTTTGTTATCCTTCAAGTGACTTCTATGATTGGACTTGCGATTGAACGAACTATTGCCACAATACGATATGAAAATTATGAGAAAGAACGAACAAAATCATTCCCAACAATAATCATCACACTACAGGTAGAGGAGTCACTTGGGATTGATAACTGACAGTTGATTGATTGGAGTTCGTCGCGTCGTTGACTTAATGAATACAGAATCAGTCTTTTTTCGGTTCCACCACGGAGTTTNTTTACCGGGAACAGAACAATGAAACATATCCTCGATATTAACAGTATGCGGACTCCATGACAACTAAACTTCCGATTTATAGCTCATTGTGGCGATTTCGATACCTTTCGGATGTCTGATGCCCGGAATCGATTGGAGCATACCGGCAACCGGCCATACGTTAATAACGAACGCAAATTTAACTAAAAATCAGGTTGATGGCGCAAATTATTCACCGTTGCATCCATTATCCATGAGTCGTCGCCTGGCATGAACACCAAACAAACGTACACCAAAAAAAAAACTTTTCAGTGCTTTCACTGTTGGAATGTTTTTGTTTCCCGCATAAGATCACCAAGCTCATTGTGAAAAGTTTGAATGAGTATTTTTGCACTCCATTTCTCAACAATTCTGTAGAGAATTCATGCAGATGAATGGCAATAACCATTTCAGCTGTTCGCTATTTCATTCATTATTATGGAACTGGTATTAACCATTTATGTCTACTCATTACTTTACATAAATTACTTGCGCCGAAAACGAATCCGTAATTGGAACAGTCAATCGGGTCTTTCAACTCGATACCAAATCGATGAGAATATACGCAGCATAAAAGTCATCATACCGTTGGTATCATTGCAGTTTTTATTCAACTTCGCCACTGGTATTATGGTGTTCGTCTTCGTTGTTGTAAGTTCAATTCCTGATCATTTCAAGAAACCATTCTTCGCTTTTTTTTTCAAGAAACTGCTCTTTGATCATTATATATGAAGGTGCTGACAAGCGAAATGCTCTTCTTGATACTAAAACTGCTCGGGTAATCTCTTTAGAAGCACGAAATAGTCCGCTTCGTTGATCAGAGGAAAACAACAGGAATAGTTGATGGATTTCCTCCACAACAAGGAGACAGAGAGGAAGACGGAAGGAGTAATTTGGTGTTAACATCTGAAGTGAATTCTGAAATTTCAGATGAAGGATGATGTGAGTGTCGTTATGTNCAACATTTTGGAACGTCTGAACGGTGTGTTAACGTTATATCCGATTGCGCTGCTGATTCTGCTCTCCAGAAAGGACGCATCACTGAACAAAAAAGTTCTGCTATGTCATCACAAATCAGTCGCACCAACACCCACCCCAGACGATACCAACAAAAAACCATGTTCTTTCTCTGCTCCCAAGTTCGTGATTGTTGAGAACACAGACAGGCGTTTCGATCAGCTTAAAACCATTTTTGAAGGACCACAAAAGTAAACTGAATGTAATTAACCACCAGTTTCTCTAGCATCATTCAAGCAAGTCTCTCAAAGACTTCAGCTATCCTCACGCTCGATCAATAGACAAAAAATTTAATCGACTAACTCAAACTTAGTCGCGGTGATACTCTGCAACTGACAATGAGATATTCCTGAACTAGCTGAAGACATCGCTCATTGTCAGCTGTTGTCACTCGCCGTTCCCACTTTCCTTCAAAAACAAAAACCCATAACAGCTGAACGATGCTGCTTAATCGAATGTCATCCGTCATAAGCAAATGCATTACGATCATTCGACGAGGTTATAACTGGTGATCATAAAGTGCATAAATGAAATCATTGCATCTAATGCATCATAAATCATTGCACCTACTCATCGGTTTCGAGTCAATCTAAAATCTCCGATGAACGAACGCATAAATTAAGCGTCTCATGTATTATCAGCTAACGTAACGATGATATGAAAATTGTATACAGTTGAAATAAACCGATTGCTACTATTCACTTTCACATGGCAATGTTCCGCTCTACTCGTCTCATTTGTTTCACTACGACTCAAACACAGCGTCCAGCAACCATCAATTGTGCTGTTCAAAAGCCCAGATTAAGCCATCCATCAACGAACACCAAACGTACCACCACACAGTCAT